TATCCATTTCGAAACAGAAGAGCAGTGGATAGTTTTTGAATAACTTCTGATAGAAATTAGATAGAGACCAGCGGTTATCACCGTTGAAAAGAGGAGATGAAGGCATATCAAATCATATACTATAGATTTTTTTCCCAAGGGTTTTGAGAGTTTCTATTGAATTTTTCCAAAAACGAATGTGTACGTTTGCGCTCGATTAGTACAGTAATTTTTCATGAAAATGTAGCAAAATGCTGAAATTTTTGCCTAATTTTCTAGAAAAATCAGGTAAAAGCCGCAATAAAATACCTTTAACTTCTGAACGTTGCAAGTTAAAAATATTGGCCTTGCACAGTTTTGTAGATCTTCCATTTCCGGTTCAGATTCACTCCTGAAACTCGGAAGTTCACTGTAGTGACTAAGCGCGGTACATCGGTTTGCCAAAATCTCGATTAAAAACACTCAATAAAACTTGCTGGAAAAGGTTATAATATACAATTCAATGCGTCTTGATCTTCTCTTTCCAACGGTGAAAACTACAGGTCTTTATCTCGTTCCTAGAGAAAGTTATTCAAAAAACACTCACCTCTCTTCTATTTTGAAACTGACAATAAATCCCATACTCTGTAAAAGAAAATGTTCGTTCTGGAACGAAAAAAAATAGTTTCAGCTAAGTGCAACAGATAGAACTTTTTCCGTTTCGGTAAGCTTACTACTCTCGCTATAACAGATAATCTGACTTCGCATTCCTTCACTAGAATCCTGTTTCGAACTCTTTTGAGGGATTTCAGTGAATAGAACGAACAGGTATACGATTCGTTCCTGCGAGAAAAGAATCTTAGAGAAAGGGAAATAAGAGATTCCACCTGTATTGCACTCTACCCAAATTCCATGATAGAGATTTAGGAACGAAAATTCGTTGTAATTTACCAACAATTGTTTTCCGTTATTTTCACAAGCCGACATGCACAAAAGCACAATTCGACTTAGGAAAAAGGAACTACAGCTTCCAACTACTTTTCACCATGAAGCTTACTATGATATCCATGGCATTCTTCTGCTAGAGTCACAGAAAAGACTTTCGAGTGAGTGTGTGCGTGGGGGTGAGAATTTCGTCAAATAGAAGGTTACATCCACACTTACACTCTCACTTCTACCCCCATCAAGATGCACATTAGGATCCATCTGCGCACGAATGCCAATATCCATGTCCATACCCGAACAGATTTCCAGAAATGCTTGGAAAATTATGTTGTTCAGCGGAAATTCGAAATAAATCAATACTTCTCTCAGAGAGGTTAGTGCAACGAGAATATTTATTGCGCTTGTCGTGGTAACGAACAAACTCAAATGTGTGCACATGGAATTTTTTTAACATCTACGCTGGCTTGTTGAAAGGAAAAATGAAATTACACTGAAAAGAGAAGCACCTTCAAGCAAACAACACAAAAGAAAGCAAACAAAACCTTGAGCTTGGAGACAATTTCTTTTTTGTTGTTTACAGAGTAAAAACAAGATTATGCGATTTCTCTTCGATTTGTCAAACCAAAGGAGATGTTTTTCAATTTTGAGTGTGGAGAGTACGGGTAGATAGGTCTGCGTCAGTTTTGGATGTATGGTAAGCAGGTGGGTTTGGCTGTCGGTGTGTGAATGTTAGTGGGTGTGGTTGTGGATGTGCGAGTGGGCATGTTGGTGTAGACTTATCGTAGGGTGGGTTTGGGTGGTGTGAGTTGGTGTGGATGTGGATAAGTAGGAAGGTTGGTGGTTAGGTGGTTCGAGCATATGTGAGCAGGTAGATGAGTGCCAGTGTGTAAGTGTGTTGGTATGGGTGAAGTGATGGATGTAGTTCGTTGGGTGGATAGATTGATGAATGAGTGAATGTCGCAGTCTCGATCCTGTATATCTTTTGAGAAAATCTGGAAACACCAATCAGTAAGCTGAGTAACTGAGGTCTAGTTAACCTCTTGAATACCGCTTGTCTTCAATTGAAGACATGTAGAACGAAAGAATTTCTTTTTCGGTCTGTCGTGTCAATAAACAGCTGTGAAACGACATGTTCACTGGCATAGCTATATCGATCCATGTTATATATACGAGAAAATATGCATGAATACAGCTGATACAAGACGATCGAACGCAAGAGATAGTGATTTTTTTATTTTTATCTCTATTACACAGAACGCAAGAAATTATCGGTATTCAAGAGGTTAAGACTTGACCAGGATTCTGTCTCAAATTCTTGCAATTCGTTATCCAAAATTTATACAGGTGTAGCGGGATCGGGTTTAGGATTTTACTAGATCTTGATCTGGATTTTTTACTGAAATGACAATCCAAGACAGTATCAAAACTCAACCTAGATTTTCACCAAGATCTTGTCAGAAGGAAAAAGACAGATCTTTCTAAGATTTGAAGCTGCTACAGATTAAGACCTATTTAAAGACTAGAAAGGGTCGAGTGTTAGATGACTGGGTGGGTTGGTGACTGGAGGAAGGTGGGGCTAACGAGGAGGCGTTTATAGGTGACTATATTCTAGAGTGAGTAGCAGAAGAAAATGTAAGATGAGCAGTCACAGTTATGAAAAGTATATCAGATTACTGAATCTAGTCACTAGCTAGTCATTGTATGCTCTCAAATATTATCCTAGCAATAATCTTGGAGTTTGCTTTTCAAAGTCCTGCTTTGTCTTGGCAACAGTAGATAACATTGCAAAATAAATTTGGATAGGATCCCTCCACAGCTTTCAGAAATTTGTGACCGTAAATTTTCAGCTCATGTGTTCAGTCAAAGCACGGTCGACAACCCAGCATTTTCGTCTCAATTTTCAGTCTTTGCCTAATGAATTCAATTGATATTGGTACCATTCAATAGTCAATTAAATTCTACAATTAACCCAATTAACTAGGAAGCTAACATCAGCTATGCAGCGAATATGCAAAAAGAGATGAAAATTTACCATCATAACAGATTAAAAGCATAGCTTTTTCGCCAAAACTCTTTTTTCTCCATGATGTTTTTGAAATTGGTACTGTTCGATACGGAATTGACCTCCGTACCTGACAGAACTAATTGGAGAGCAAGCACAAGCCATGGAACGAATTCGGTCAAAGAAAGGTCAAATGCGGTGCTAACTCTACTTGTGTTAAAAATAAAGTAAAAGAACTTTCGAGAGCACTAGTTTGTAGTGGTACTCTCATTCGCAAAATCTCTAAGGAATTTTTTGTACTCATTCCCGCAGGACATGAAATGCACTCACAAAGTTTTAAACAAATCGTCATGCAAAAATATGTTTACTGCCAGTATTCTGTCAATGATGCATGCATCAAGATTTTTTTCTCAAGGTGAATACCATGCTAGAACTATGCTTACGTCACGTTCATATTACTGTAGTTTCGACCTTAGGAACTATTCAGCAGTTCTCTTGAAAGGAACACATCTATCGTAGCAGTTTTTTGAAGAAAACTGGATTTTCTCAAAAAATTTTGTTCTCTCTCAAGGGAATGAAATTGTGCTGTTATAGAGAACATACTTTCCAGACATAACATAATCGTTGTGTAATTAGGAAAATTTCACTAATAACAGAACAGTTTGGTTCTGTTTATGAAAACAGAAGTTTTCCACGCAGTATCGTTCTAATGAAGAAAACTGTTGCGATAGATTATTTGTTACCAAATCAACTGGTGTGAGAGTTCTTTCGTGCATTTTATCTAAACTTATGGGCTTGAGTTATGGCAGGTATAGTCAAGACATTAAATCTGATTCATAGATAAAAAGATGTCATAAAATACATTTGATAAACAAGAGAAGTAGAGTTTCTAGCAGCACAATGTAACAATTACTTTCAACAGTGTAGATTAATATCAAATGAGTTAATATGCTTCCAATTCAATGATTTCCGCGGCCGGTTTCTTAAATTTTCAGTATATTCTCGCTGGAAAGACGCTATTTCGAGTAAGAAAATTCGGGAAACTGGTAGGAGATTGGAAGCAAGAATTCGGTGATCGAACCTGATGGTCGGATTTTTCTAGTTCTGGTTGTAACCGTCACGAACTGAGCAGAGCCAGCCACTGAATTTGATCGCTGAATTGTTGCTTCCAAATTCCTATCATTTTTCCGAGTTTTACCGCCAGAAACGGTCCTATTTCTTGGCCTATCTTCATATTACTTCTATAAAACATTCGATATGTATATAAATGTATGTTTTCACATTCACTAAAAGGATTGTTTTGAGAAAAAATCTGCTATCATAGATGCATGATATCTGATAACTAATGAACTTAACACTGACGCAAAAAAAATCGTATGGATTTCAAGCTAACGTGTTTTTTCTTTTGATTCAAATTTCTGAAGAATACATCGAAAAATATTTGTGGCAATCGACATAGATTTACCAGAGACCTTTTCTCTTTGCTTGAATACTTTGATAAAAATATCCCAGATACAAAGGGAACCACATATTCAAAATAGTATAGTTTCATCGTATAAGAACTTTCACAATAATGTTCTCTTCTGATTTAATAATTATCATTAAACAGAAAATTTTATTACAATGCCATTTTATTACAAGATCTGTGTTATAGACAGAGTAAACAATGCTTCGTATAATAAATGTATGAAAAGACTATAAATAATGTTTTCCTACCTAGAATTCTCTTTAGGAAACACTCAGTATTTTTGTGTATCTATCATTTTTAGTCTTTTGTGTTTCTATCGTTTTTCTATTAGACCACACAAAAAATCAATTCAGTAGAAACATTGTGAATCACAAATGGTATACTTATTATTTTCTGTTGGCATTTATCCTATGCAACTATTGAATATATACTCTGCCCTTTTGTTGATCAATAATTGTCCTCATGTGATGAGAATATTCTTTTTCAAAAGGTCATTAGAAGCAACAAACATAAGCCAAGAAAAAATTATATACATATATATATAACAACAAATAATTACATTCGTATGCATTTGTTCAATGTATATGTTCGGTTAATTTGTCGTACGAATAAATCGAATGCAAATACTTATTGATTTTCTTCACAAGAAGCAAGTCGTTGCTGACGCGAACCAGTTCGGCGTCCAGATAATGGCACATTTGAATCCCGTGCTTGATTTTTTCTTGATGAAAGTATGTAAGATGATGCATTATAACTTGAACGACGATATTTACAATTTTGGACACTAGATTTTGAACGCAATGATGAATTTTTAAAAGCACGAACTAATTCATTGCGTATATGTTTACCACTAATGATATACAAATAAAAATTAATGCCATAATTAAAATTTGTTAATAAATCAAATATCTCATGGCTAATATGAAGATAATATTGCCATTTAACATTACATATACTTAAAACAGATATGCACATAAATTTAATTATATCTAAACTTGAACCAGGTACATGTAACAGAAGATAAACCGATGTCACTATAACTAACATACGAGATATTTTATAAACTAATTTCGTTTTATGTCGAGCATTAAGAGTTGTATTTGTATGATCAACTAATGAACTTTCATGAAATAATTTATTCATAATAAGTATATTGGCGATTATGATCATTCCTGATGGCAATAATGTCATTAAAGCAAGTCGCCAAACATAGACTGTTAAAATTACATCCAATTTTAGATATGTATGACGACGTATTGTTTTACAGCGGCAAACTTTTGTTGATGATGATGAGGGAGAACAATCAAGTCCTTTTATTATCAAATGATAAGATTGAATAAGCATTGTAAACAAAAGTATTATAAATATAATACGACGAGCATTGACAACGCTGCATATATTTTTTGACCATAAAGGGAATTTTATTGCAATTAATCGTTCAACAGCTAAAGCAGCGGTAATCCTAAGAGAACAAATCATTTTCCATACAAAATTATAGAAGAAAAGCTATTAAAATCTCACCAAGAACTCATAGAATAAAATATATATCTTATATAATTGTATAATTTACATGATAAATTATTATGTGCAACAAGTGTTAATTTATACTCAAATTGGTGTAATTCATCAAGTGCAGAAAGAACTAAAAATATGGGGTGTTGAGTAATATAAATATGCTTTTACTATTTTCTTTTACATGCCTTCAGAAAAAATAGCTCCAGTATCTACAATAGCTAAAGCAATCAAATATTGAGTGTAAGAATTTCGTCTTAAACCTGAAAATAAAATCAGTAATATCAATTTTTCTTTTATACATTAATAATAACTCACGTCGACGACATAAAACTACTAAACATAATATATTACCACAAAAACCAATGACGAAGACAACTAATGTTCCTAGAAAATCAAACAAAATTTATAAATCTATATATCTATTGAATTTCTAACCAAGATTATTTAACCACCAAGCCCAAGTTTTGTTTTCAGATTGAATTTTTTTAGCATAATATAAATCCGTACCAGTGAAATTCATTGCTACGCATAGAGGGATACTAAACAGATACTAATCAGAGATTTATGATAGAAATACCGAGCAACGTGCCGTCGATTATAAAAACTAACATGAATCTTGTTTTGAGAAAACAGATAACGTTGATTTATATTAGTTTCTTTCTTTCTCGGATTCTCTATCAGATTGTGTCAAAGAGCAAAAAAAATGGAAAGGACCGTCACAGCATGTACTATTTCTCGACAAATGGATATATATTTATATACGTATATATTGTATATTCTTATGTGTGGTCTGCTGTAACAGATTGGTATAGTGTTAGACATTTGTTTCTGAAAGGCATTTGGCATATGCACATCCAATAGGAGAGAAAAAAGTTTAACTTAGTTGAGCTCAAAATACAGTATATCAGAGAAAGATCAAAAGACATTGAGTTTCCTGTCTAACAATGATATAGGTGGCGCTAAATTTCATTGATCATGCTATGGTGATTGAGAATACATACACATTTGATAGTATTTTTTTGTACTATCTGCAACAAAACTATTGACCAAAGTCAGGAGAAAGTAATTTCGATATCTATTTTACATGGAGAAGATTGCTTATAACTTGAATGCCACTATGTTCAAAATCAGGATAGGTAATATAGCCATCAGGTGCTTGGAGGTAATATGAAGCTGTTTTGATACATGTAAATAATGATGAAATAAGCCATGATTGGTGGGAAAGGGTGGAGTAGCAAAGCAGTAATGCATGATTTGTTTTGTTTTAAGTCAGTTATCATTATACTTCCGCGTGAGTCATTCATCGAGATATCATTTTGAGTTGTGTGAGGATATGCTCTTGTACTTGATGTTGAAGAAAATGAAGACCTGCATCATCGATTTGAAGTAAAACGCTGAATGAAAAGTCTTTCAGCAGTAACAATCGGTAGTATAAAAATATAAATCAGATTATGGGATAATGAAACTCAAGTTTTCTTTATATCTAAATGACAACATGCAGAAGGGCTATGTTTTCACAATGTATTTAGATTTTTAGATTGTAGAATACAATCCTAACTGGTTTTTTCTAGCTATGAGAATTATTCAATTGCTCTTCTAGCATTTGAGATATGAAAAATTTATGTCTATCCTCACATCTTTGATTATTTTCCGCAATGAAGTGTTATATAATTACATATAAATGAGATAGAAAAGCGAATTCCTCAGAAAACCAAGCTATTATTTCTGAAGAAATATTATCCATTCAAACTTTTGGTAATGAATTTACAATTAGATGACTCTTCTGTAGAAGAAAATTCCTACATTACTTGGACATGAAAGAAGGAACTGTCTTTGTTCATTATCCTCTGGAGAGAACAATGACAGCAAAACAAAAACAACGTTTTGAATATCATTTCAGATAATAAATACTTTGTTTTAGAGAAAAATTAGAACAATATTTGCTCTATTGATAGATATTTTCGCGAATATTATCAAAAATAAGTCAAATATAAAGCAAAACAAAGTAAATTGAACTTTGCTTCTATTATTGTAAAAATAGAACGCCTGTAATAGATTTTATTTGTGCTTTATTTTTACATCATCGTTGTTGTTATGTATGATGGTGAACTTTTTCAAATCAATAAGATCGTTTAACCCTTTCAGGTCTAGCGTACTAAATATATTACACTGTTTTCAAGTTTCACAATCTCTGAATACCTCGCAAATGCAGAAAGATATCGAAAAGCGGTTTTCTCTAGTACAAAGAGAAGACTTTGATGTACTGACCTATATTAAAATTATAGCTATAATAAACTCATCGACGTGATAATTATGAGCCATATTTGGAAGATCATCATAACTTATTTTAGACTATTTTTTAGTTTTTCCATAAAATGCTAAATATAATTTTAAATGATTGAATTATGCGTGTAGCATATAATAGATAACTGAAGTAGAATACAATGAGTGTCGTCAACGACCAGTCGTCATACTCTATACCAAATAGGTGTCAATATTTAACCCTTTCAGGCCCACCGTACTAAATATAGTACGGTTTTTTTTCCAGTTTGGTATTTTTTAAATAACTGGCCAACGCAAAAAGATATCGAGATACGGTCTTCTCCATAATATATAAGAGGGTTCGGTCTATATGTCTATATAAGAATTTAAATTCCAATGAGGGCACTCAGATAGTAAGTCTGATGGAGTTTTGAACTACCAACTGCATTCTAAAAGGGAGAAGAGCGAATAATGCCATTTTGCAGTCGTCAAAATATTTCGATTTTTCGTGTTGGAATCAAGTTAAGAGTGACTCTTTGTGGTATTTCAAAGGTTGGTTTTGTGACAACTCTCAATTGAATTACGATTTCCACCCATACTCCCACACCAGGATGTTCAAAGTATTTCTTTGCTATTTCCGCGGGGCAGTACGGTGATAGGTCAAAAATTACTTTTAAGATTTTTAAAACTTTTTGATGAAAATATTAACAATACACATTGTTCATATTAAATATAAAATCTCCAAAAAATTCAGCCACTGGTTGAGCCATATGCCTGAAAGGGTTAAACTGTGAGAGAGTACTTAAGGGAGGGTCCGCCAGCCAATCGAGCAATTTTTATATAGGCCATACTCCCGAAAATTTTGACCCCATTATTTTATTAGTGGAATCGATAGCCCATGAGTTGAAACTACTAAACCCAAAATATGAGCTCAATTCATCATTTAACAAAAAAGTTATGAGGACCACACCGACGACTACTGAGTGATTCAGTCAAAATCGGAACTATTTAGTGTGATACCCACATCTCCGGCAAAATGTAATCGATTCCTCAACAATTGAGGGCTGCGCAAATACAGATACAAGTTGTATCGGCTACTTCCTATAATCTCTGATATGTTCCTGCTGATCAGTATCTATCGGCATGTATCGGCATGTAACGACATGTAACGACATGTATCGGCCTTATGTATCGCTGTAACAACCTATGTACCTCTGAAAAACCTAGAATTGAAGAATACATGTAACAACATGTAATGTGGTGTATTTGAGGGCGTGGGTGTGGCTGTGGCGATGGGTGGGTGTGGGTGTGGGGTGTGGGTGTGGGTTTGGGTGTGGGTGTGGGTTTGGGTGTGGGTGTGGGTTTGGGTGTGGGTGTGGGTTTGGGTGTGGGTGTGGGTTTGGGTGTGGGTGTGGGTTTGGGTGTGGGTGTG